TTCAAAAAATTTGTAAAATTCCTTCAATTTTTTGAAAATATTTGAAATTTCCTCACTTTTTTCAAAAAGTTTGAAATTTCCTCAATTTTGTCGAAAAATTTAGAAATTCCTGAAACACCCTTACTTTTTTTCGAAAAAGTGGGGGAATTCTTCAATTTTTTTAGATAATTTGGAATTTTCTTATCAGTTCCTTAAAACCCTATTTTTTTCAAAAAATTTGCAATTCCCTCATTTTTGTCAAAAAATCTGGAATTTAGAATTACATAATGGAATTTTTTAAATTTTTTCAAAATTTTTAAATAACCTTTTTTCGAAAAATATGCGGTTTCCTCACTTTTTTTAAAATTCTTGAAATAACCTCACTTTTTTCAAAAAAATTTGGAATTTGCTTGCTTTTTGAGAAAATTTGAAATTCCTCCACTCATTCTTTCCAAAATTTGGAGATTCCCTTACTTTTTTCAAAAAATTTGCGGTTTCTTAATTTTTTTCAAAAAATTTGGAATTTCCCATTGAGATTTGGACCATAATTAATAGAATTTTATTAATTATGTAGGAAAAAATTTGAAAATTTTCCAGAAGAAAAAGGAAAGTGAGAAGATCATTTGGAAAATTTCAATGGAAAATCACTCCAGAAAAAAATCTAGAAAATTGACTTTTTTAAGCAAAATCAAGGAAAATTCATCTTCTTACATTTTAATTTTTTTCTAAAAAACTCAATTTTTTTTTTCTCAAACGTCATTTTTTGACAGGTCCAATCCTATAAAAAAAAAAAAAAAAATTCAAATTACAGGTCCAATGATACCTATAAATTATTATTTTTTTTTTTTTCAAACCTCATTTTTTGACACGTCCAATTCTATATAAAAAAAAAAAATTTAAATGAATTTTTTTTTTGACAGGTCCAATGACATGAATTATTTTTTTTTTTTTTCAATTGTCATTTTTTTTCGACAGGTCCAATAATATTTTTTTTTTTTTTTCAAATGTCATTTTTTGATCAATCCAAACTTATGAAAAAAAAATATATTTTTTTCAAACGTTATTTTTTGACAGGTCCAATCTTATAAAAAAATATTTTTTTTTCAAATGTAATTTTTTTTGTGACGGGTCCAATGATACCTATAAAAAATTTATTTTTTTTCCAAGTGTCATTTTTTTTTGACAGGTCCAATAATAATTTTTTTTTTTTTCCAAATGTCATTTTTTGACAGGTCCAAAGTTATAAAAAAAATTTTTTTTTTCAAATATCATTTTTTGACAGGTCTAAACTTATAAAAAAAAATTCAAACGTCATTTTTTGACTGGTCCAATCCTATTAAAAATTGTTTTTTTTTCAAATTAAATTTTTTTTTTGACAGGTCCAATGACACCTTTAATTTTTTTTTTTTTCAAGTTTCATTTTTTTTTACAGGTCCGGTCCAATGATATGAAAAAACATTTTTTTTTGACAGGTCCAAATATGAATATTTTTTTTTGTTTGTTTTCCAAATGTCATTTTTTTTTGACAGGTCTAATGATATGAAAATTTTTTTTTTTTTTTCAAATGTCATTTTTTGACAGGTCCAAACTTAAAAAAAAAAAAAAAATTCAAACGTCATTTTTTGACAGGTCCACCAATCCTATATTTTTTTTTTTTTAAATGTATTTTTTTTTTTGACAGGTCCAATGACACCTAACTTTTTTTTTTTTTTTTTTTTAAGTGTGTCATTTTTTTTTGACAGGCCCAATAATATGAATTTTATTTTATTTTTTTTTTTCAAATTTCATTTTTTGACAGGTCCAATAATATGAAAAATTTTTTTTATTTTTTTTTCAAATGTCATTAATTGACAGGTCCAAACATAAAAAAAAAAAAAATCATATTATTGGATCTGTCAAAAAATGACGTTTGAAAAAAAAATGGTATTGCCGATTTTGTAATTTAATTTATGTAGAAGCGGCACAAAAATTTACCCAGATCCTTAAAATTATAATAAATGACGCGTTCCGAAGTCACCTGGGTAAAATGTCCTCGTGGGAAACTGTGTATATTTATATATAACTTTCGAAATGGGCTAAAGAAATAATCAGTTGCCTCAGTTTTGAAATTTTATAAGCTCATAACTTTCTTGTTTTTGGACCGATTTTCAAAAACAAAAAATGATTTTGTAGGTATTTTTATTGGCAACAATTTTGCTCTCTTGTAATTTTTCAAAAAAGTGCATAGTTTTTGATATATTTCCAAAAAAATAAAAAAAGCACAATTTTTTGAGTTTAAAGCCCGATTGGGCGAGTACGGCACATGCGATTTAGTGCGATTTTTAAGGAAACATTGTCGACCACCAAAGTAACTTTGAGAACGGAAATGCGTGCGGAAAAGTACTACTTTGCGCACGCTCTTAGGAAAACAATTTTTCAAGTTTCAGATAAACGGGGAAAAAAGTGCACATTTATCACACCTCATAACTTTTCCCAGAAGAGTGTGCAAATTTTGAAAATAGGTGTGCAAAATTGTCCAAAATTAGATGAAACGAGTAGCATTGTTTTTGTCGAAAAAAGCAAATTTTCAAAGACGGGGGTAGTCCTGACAACCTGCCCATTTCTCGACCTGTCAAAAATTACATTTGACAGCTGTTGAGTATTCCAAATTGTATTATTATCCGAACTTAAACTGTACGCAAAATTTCAGCAAAATCTATTGTGAAGAAATGGTTCACAAATCTGCATCTGTCACATTTGACAGTTGATACCTGTCATTAGTGGTTTAAAATGTATTATAACCCGAACATAAAATGTATGCAAAATTTCAGCAAAATCCGTTGCGAAATAATGGTTCAAAAATCTGTCAAATTTGACAGTTGACAACTGTAATTGGTGGTCTAAAATGTATTATCACTAGAACTTGAACAGATGTACCTATGCTAAATTTCAGCAAAATCCGTTGTGAAGAACTGGTTCAAAATCTGCAACTGTCACAATTTGACAGTTGACACTAATATTCCTATTCTATGGTAGATTTATGTATAATAAGTACCTATATAAAACACAGGCATTTAATTTGTTAAACAAAAGACAATTTGGCAACGCAGCCTAGCAAATAAGCCTGCATTTGGTGTCTCAAATTAATTTAATCGCAGAAACGACTGATTTTACTAGGACACCAGCGCCATCACGCAGGTTTATATTTTCGCCGGCGAACGGGTCTTCTAGAGACGTTAGTCTATAATATTCTTTGGTATAAGTAACTTTTGATTCCCTACAAAAAAGTTCTCTTGAGTTTTTTTGATACAATACATACTTTACGAAATATTCAATAAATTCCAAAAAAATTAAAATGGCGGCCATTTTTTTTTTCCAAGTTCCACCAATGCGACAAAGTGCGATTTTTGAGGGATTAATTAGGACCCTATTGACTACTCATTTCCGCAAATATCACTTTATTACTAATTTTTTCTACCCCAACCACCTATTTTGACAGGCCTAAATAATACATAGACTAAGAATAGCGCACGTCACACACCCGAACTACACACGGATACTCAATGGAAAAAATGGTGATCCACAATTATGTGAATTTTGTGCCGGAATCCTGACAATTAAACATATTATTTCTGAGTGCCTTTAATACACTGAAATCAGGAAAAATCTGGACATTAGAGCAAACTTTCGAGAAAGCTTTCAAAAAGTGCTACAGTTTTTGATGAACATTAACATGTATAATAAGATATAATTTCCTAAACTTTCTCCTGATGTAATTTTTGCTTTTGGCCTGCATACAACTGCCTCTAAATTATAATGCCTATGTAATGGGCATATTATGTAATTCACGAGCCCATGACCTCAGCTGTCGAGGCACACCAAATAAATTTTTAAAAAATCCTGATAATTTTGATTCAACATCTCTTACGGATTCCAAGTTATTGAGATTTGAAAATTTTGAAACAAAAATCTAAAGCTCTTGAAAAATTAACCAAAAACTCAAAATTTTTATTGTCCATATTTTCCAAAATTTGCTTTTTTCAATCGATAGAGCGAGTCTAATTAATCAAAAACATTTCTAATGAGAATTTCATCAGGAAAAAAAATTAAGAAGAAAATCTCGTTAACTGCCTGATTTTTTAAAATTTGACAACGTTAAGAGCAATGGTTCATATTTTCATTTAAATTTGAGCAAATATACATTTTTAGAAAGAGCATCAAATTCTCTATAAAAGTGTGCTCAATTAATTGGTTTTGATAGCTCATATACTTTTCGAGCAATTGAGCCTCAAAGGTGAACTTTACTCCATTGCAGCTTAAAACTTCATAAATTGAAGATGTTTTCAAAATTTGAAACAATCCGAAAGTTCAAATATGATGTTCAAAAACGGTTTTATGATGTTCTGTTTGTTTCTGTGGGCCGGTATTCTGGTTCTCAAAAACGCTCACCGCTTTCTAGTCGCTCGGCACTTTAAATGTAAATTTACATTGAAAGTGCCGAGTCACTGAAAAGCGGTGAGCGTTTTCGAGAACGAGAATACCGGCCCTCTAATGTAGTTATAAATAGTTACTCATATTTTCAAATGATATTAGAACAAATTCGATTAAGTTCAAAATAGCTTTAATTAAATTCTTAGGCTTCAAAGTTAAAGCTTTAGTAACAATTTTGCCAAAAACTATTTATTTTGTCTTAAGAAAGAATAAAAAATCCACTGATAATTTTACATAAATATACATTGCAGAGGAAGGGATGGCGTTGGGCCTTGAAAGATGACAGAATGATAATTGTTTAGGGGTTCGAATTTGAAAATAACCTTATGTGATGAAATCTACTATTAATTATGTATTCGAAAAAGAGTAAAGATGCATTGGCCATTTAGATAAACAGGGCAATACTTCCATTATACTTTACCTGTACCATCTGTAAACTATTATATTTAATAACTATTGAACGATTTAAGTATTTGAAATTGAATAAGATTCAATAATCATCAAATACAATATTAGTGCTAATTATGTGTGTTTTTGCAAAATGTGTATACCGAAATTTCAGCCATCGATAGCCCCTGCTCATCGAACTGACTTTTGGAGTAATGTTCTGTGGCCTCGCCCCTAAGTGAACCTGTAGACTGTAAGGCGTCCAAAGCGTCATGCTAAATAATAATCAATCAAAATTTATTTTAATTTATTTAATTTTGACTATTTTTTTTTTCTTTTTTAAATACATGTAATTTACAAAAAATAGTCAAAATAAAACAAGTTGTTTTTCGATTATTAGCGCACATTTTGGTAGCCCCGCAACCTTTTTTTTTTCTAGTATGTACATTGAACAATTATCACAACATGTAACACAAACATTTAATAATCTAAACACATACCTTCTTATAGTAATAATTATCGTAGTTAGCGCCTTCTTTTTTAATGTAAAAATATTCCAAATATGACATAAATTTAGGAACAATAATAGTGATCCTATAGTTTTGGAATAAAATAAATGTATTTGTTACATTCAACAGCTTATTAGTATACCTTCACACACAAGTTAGTAGTAAATAGTTGGTCTCCATATGCAAATTATGGGGATTGAAACAAACAATATGAATAAAGATTTTTATACTTTCCTGGCCTGATTTACATCTGAAAATTTTAAGATTCAATTTGAAAACTCAAATTTTGTGCATAAAATCTCCAATATGAAGCTAAACAGTTTTACACGGAAAAAAATGCAATTCTATATCCAAGAGTAGTAATATACTTATAATTTTATATTTGATCCAGTAATAATTTACTTAGTAAAACAATACTTTATTATACATTGAAATATTTGCTTAATGTTATTTTGAAATTCTTTAAATATTCATCTCAATTATTTTTCATTCAAATTAAGAATAAAAAATATATTTTATCAAATATAGGTTTGTTCTTAATGTAATGTTGAAATAATTTCTCGTTTGAAATACCTATAGTTTGAAGAGAGTATATTATTCTTAAATGAAATGCATGTTTGTTTCAACCTGCTTTCTAGTCGCCTTTGTGCTTTGCTTCGTGTTGCGTTCTCTCCCATTCATTCCATTGAACATGAAGTTGAAGTTTGGTTGAAGAGACGCCGAAGGACGCCACGCGACGCTACCTGTGTTTTTACAGTGTTTTTCGTGATAAAATGGATTTTTTGTGGAAGAAATGGGATTTGGAATGTTCAATTCCAATATTTGAAGGTAAGTTTCACTTTTCCTGCTCAATTTCCGGGAAAAAACAATCAAAAAATTATTAGGCATTGTTGGCGTGGGTGGCCATCATTTAGGTAAAAACTTAAACCGCGTGTTATCCTTCATCATGTAGAAGTACCTTATCCAATCTATTTGCTTTTTGCTTTAGGATAAGTTGCTGACAAAGTGTCTATAAAAACATTATTTTTAATTTTAGGAAATTAAATTGACTTGGACAATGGTTGAACATAAATGATGAACAAAGTAAAGAGCGAATTCCCAAAATGGAGGTTAGATTAAAATTGACCAAGAAAATGAATCGGTACAAAAATGGCGTTAAAAGTGAAGAAAATGCACCATCTATAAAGGATTTTCCCAACCTTCCAGTGGTATGTGAATAATTAATAAATAAATGTACCTATCTATCTATGATTGTTATTGTACTTGTCACAATTAACTTTTTTGTTATTATTCCATCAGTTTATACCTTTATATATTATATAAACTTTTAAAACAAAAATTTGAAGAATAAAATATACTTCAGAGTAAACTGTGTTTCAATATTAATGGTAAGTACACGAGTAGTTAAAACAATAAGAGGTTATTGTTGAAGTAAGAATAAGAAATATTTGGAAATAAATTGTAGTTTTTGTGATAACTATAAGTAATTTTTCGAATAAGAAGAACAATACTTGATCAACAAATCTACCTTATTCTTGAAACAATTACTAGGCTATTCTCGAATTCAACACTACCGTATTCTGGATATAAGTTGAACTTATTTTCAATTCTTAAGAATAGAGCAATACTAGAATTAAAATTATATTTTCTTGTGGAATAGTGAAACGAATATATTCTTGGGCAAACGCTACTATTCTTAAATATAGTGGACTGTTTTTTCCGTGTACACTTTAAAAACCTTCTATCTTTCTTAATAAAGTTACTTTAAAATTTTTAAGCTCAACAACAAATTGTCTTTCTTCAAGTAAATCTCTGTTTCATATCGTTTCATGTAGAGTCTTCTGAGGCACATAAAAACCAACAACACCTAAACGTTACCACTACGGGCAATGGATACCTCTTGGGCCACCTTGGCAGCATCGGCCAGCGACATACCAAACAAGATGGAATTCGCGCCAGCGATGATGCTGTAACAACCTCGCCGAGTCTCCGGCCTTGGTGCCGCTTTGGCGCTGCCTTGAAGCTTATTTTTCAATTCCTGAGGATTTGTTTTTTTTTCAATATTATTGAAGCACACAAATATACCTCTTTAGCATTGTGTTAATCAGTGGCGGCTCGTGACTATTTCAAGTAAGGAGGCTAATTACAGTATAGGATTCCATGAAATTCCACTATGATTTCAATTTCGAAATTCCATATTTTTTTTTTTTTTTATTTTACTAAAATTCCTCAAAATTTTACCACTGAAATATCCTGAAATTCCACAAAATTTTCATAAAATTCTTTGGAATTTCATGTAATTTCTTAAAAATCTCTCGGAATTCACTAAAATTTTATGAGAATATCCACATTCATAACCGAAAATTTCTCGAAAGTCCAATGAAACTTCAAAGAATTTTCAAAATTTAATTTATTTTCATAAGAATTTTTCGGAATTTCACTGAAACTCTCTTTTAATAGCCAGGAATTTCTGGGAATATTAATGAAGTTTCAAGTAATTTCTTAAAAATTCATCGAAATATATTGAAATTTCATGTTATTACATGGTAATTTTTCAGAATATCACCGAAATTCCATATTTTTAACTGGAAATTCCTCGGCATTACTAAAATTCAGTAAAAACTGAAATTTCATGTTGGGAATTTAGGTATAATTTCATGTAATTGTTTAAAATTCCTCCATGTAATTTATTTAGGATTTCGTGTAATTCGACCAGAATTTCACTGAAATTTCAAGTAATTTGAGAGGAATTAAAATTTAATGTGAATTCTATGGAAACTCCGCAAAAATTTCACATCTAATTCCTTTTCCAAAATAACATAATTATTTTACCGAAATTCCACTAAATTATGGAATTCTGAGATTTTAATAGATTTTTGGGGATTCCAAAGGATATTTGAAAATTTTAAAGGAAATATTTTTCAGAAATGTTAATGATTGGGTTTAAAATAACCTATAAATCGAGATTTGATAAAAACATATGGCAACGCTGCTCATGATACAACAAACGTCAAAAAATTGAAATATCAAAGTAGACCTTAGTTTTTTTGACAGTCGATATAAAATGGCGTCTTTTTGTTTCAAAGATTACGATCCGAAGAGCCGAAGTATTAAAATCAGTTGACAATGAACGGGTTCATATAATTCCGGCCCTTCGGGCTCGTATAACCTCGGACCTTCGGGCTCGTATAAATCCGGCCCTTCGGGTTCGCAAAATTCCGGCCCTTCGGACTCGTATAAACTCGGCCCATTGAGCTCATAATTGAGATAACTTCAGCCTTCCAGAATCGAGATTCGGAAAATAAAACATATGGCAACACTGCTTATAATACAACAAACGTCAAAAAATTGGCCCTGTTTGGCTACTTTTTACGTATTCGCCGAGGCTAAATCTATATGCCCATTAAAATTTTGACAGCTGTCAATCTCAAAAAAAATATTCTTTTGTTTTTTCCAAAAAACAAAGGCCGTTTTTTAGTGGGTTTTAGGGTGAGATTTATGTAACAACATGTAGCAACAGTTGGTACAAAAAATTTAATTTCCCGTCGGGTTTGGAATTCAAATTTTTGAATTTTCCCGGCTCCTGATTGGTTTGGGGATTCGAATTTTGTTTATTCCCGGCTCTTGATTGGCTTTAAAATAATCTATATTTTCGGCCCTTCGAGCTCGAGATTTGAAAGAAAAACATGGCAACACTGCTCATGATACAACAAACGTCAAAAAATTGAAATTTCAAACCTTGAGTTTTTTTGACAATCGATACAAAATGACGTCTTTTTGTTTCAAAGATTACGGACCGAAGGGCCGGAGTATGAAAAATCAGTTAACAATGAACGGGTTCGTTCGGAAAAAACTTTTGTCGCACGAGACTTTGGCAATATCGATAAATGTCACCTGTCAAATTTGATACATGTCCGACTTTTTCCCCGCTCTACTATAAAAGCTACGAAAATCGCGAACAAGGCAGTTTCGCGACGCTAACTATCGATTTGTTTCAAAAAAAATTGACAGCTGTCAACGTCAAAAAAGTTTTTTTTTATTTTGCGAATTTCGAGAAAAAAGTGATAGAAAACGATCCCCGGACCCAAAAACCTTAAATAAAAATTCCAAAAAAAAAAAAACAACGAAAATGACATTCCAAAACCTACTTGATAAAACTAAAGTTTTTCTCACTTACCCCGTTAAAACACTGGACATTTTTGGTGGAAAACGAAGAAAACTCAAAGCCTTGTACTTTAAATCGGTTTTTCCGACCAGAAAAACCCTGAAAAAGCGGACAAATTCAAAGAAAAACCTCTAAAAATGACATTCCAAAGTCTACTTAATGAAATTTGAGTTTTTGTCACTTACCCCATTGGAAAACTGGGAATTTTTAGCACAAAATGTAGGAAATTCAAAGCCTCGTATTTCAAATCGATTTTCTTGACTGAAAACGGCTTGGAAAAGCGGAAAATTCGAGTAAAAACTGGATAGAAATGTAAACACGTCAATTAAAAATTGCCGATTGTCAAAACTGGCAAATGACATTTATTACAAAACCTATTTAAAGTTGGTACAAACGGTGTTGCCACATCAAAACTTCCAAAAAAACCATTTTAAATGGGATTTTGTTATTTATGTCATTTTAAAACTGGACATTTTTGCTAGAAAATGAAGAAAACTCAAAGCCTCGTATATTAAATTGCCTTTTTCCATTGAAAAGCCCCGAAAAAGTGAAAAATTCGAGGAAAAACTGGCAAAAAATTACAAGGCGTCACTTCAAAATGGCCAACTAAAAGCAACGTTGCCACATTTCATTTCGGAAAGCAAAAATAACATTTTAAAGGGGTTTTTTGTTTAAAATTCAATTTAATAATTAATTAATAATGATTATAATAATTAAAATTCCCCAAATAAATTATAGGCAACTTGTTTTTAGTTTAATTTCAATGGAAATGACATTTAAAGATTTACTTATTGATTATAGTGAGTAAGACAAAGACAATGATAAAGTAGTATATGTTTGCAAAAACCACCGTTTTCTGAAAAAAGTAAAAATCTTAAGAAAACCAACATTCCAAAGCCAATTTGATAAAACTAAAGTTTTTGAATATCCCTGACTCTTTGATCGGACGTTAGAAATCGCATTTTAAATACTCCAGGTTTTCAATTAGCTCTAAATTATTGCTCACCAATAGAATTATAAACTAGGCCTCGTGATTAAAATAACTCTAGCCCTTCGGGCTCGCGTATAACTCCGGCCCTTCGGGCTCGCGTATAACTCCGGCCCTTCGGGCTCGCGTATAACTCTAGCCCTTCGAGCTCGTATTACTTCGGCCCTTCGGGCTCGCATATAACTCCGGCCCTTCGGGCTCGCGTATAACTCCGGCCCTTCGGGCTCGCGTATAACTCTAGCCCTTCGAGCTCGTATTACTTCGGCCCTTCGGGCTCGCATATAACTCCGGCCCTTCGGGCTCGCATATAACTCCGGCCCTTCGGGCTCGCATATAACTCCGGCCCATCGGGCTCGCATATAACTCCGGCCCTTCGGGCCGATATTACTGAGTATCCCAAATATTTGTCGTGGAGGCGTGGGATTGATTGAAATAATGTTGTCAGATTTTTCTAAATTACATTGAAATATCGAAAATTGGAAAGTGTAATTTGTTAATTATTATTTTAATTAGAAATCAGGAATAAAAAATTGAGATTGAATTTTTAATTTTTTGAGGGAGGTTTAGCCTCCCCTGCCTCCTCTGACGAGCCGCCACTGGTGTTAATAATACTAAGGAAAAACTTTGAAGCTTTATTGGAGAGTGCTACTATTGCCCAGAGCCTCAAGCAAAATTTTAGTTACACATTCAAGCATATGCAAGCTTTAGTAAAAAGAAAAAAAAAGCAAAAATAATCGTGCTTGTTTGTGATGATGCACGCTTAAAAAACTTACCTGAGACTTGAGTTGGTCTTTTAACCAAGTGAGGTAAAAGTGCAAATCGGCCCTTTCCATGGGCGTTTGCGACCAGCAAGCGATTTTGGCGATGATTCTCGACGTCATGTTGGTTATGAAACCGTCTTGACGGTTGAGGAGATTTAGAAATGGACCCCAGACTGATTCCTTCTTTTTGCTGGCGTATTCGTGGAAAATTTCGACACGACTACGATCTTCCTAGAAAAAAAAATACTTAAGTAGTATTAAGTTAAATAATTTAAAATCATTTTTATTTCAATGTTGGGCACAATTAAAAATCAGGCAAGCAAGTTATAACAAATGCCAACGTCTCTAAAAATGAGTTTCTGCAAAGCGTATCTTAAAATATTCCATTTGAGATTTGAAATAATAAATTAACCTTTATGAAGTATGAATTATTAATGTTTATAAATTGAAAAGCCAGCAAATCTTCAATAGGTATGCCTTTTCCAATAAAAATGCACTTAATGACCTTCGGAAACCTCCTGGTGTTGGGGCATTTCTAATCTGCAAACCAATATTATTGTATATCTTGATAGGCTAGTCAAAATAGGTGGTTGGGGTAGAAAAAATTAGTAACAAAGTGATCTCTGCGGAAATGAGTAGTCAATAAGGTCCTTATTAATCCCTCAAAAATCGCACTTTGTCGCATTGGTGGAACTTGGAAAAAAATGGCCGCTATCTTGATTTTTTTGGAATTAATTGAATATTTCGTAAAGTTTGCATTATATCAAAAAAACTCAAGAGAACTTTTTTGTGGAGAATCAAAAGTTACCTATATCGAAAGAAATTTCAAGAATATTAGCTGAAAAACGAGAAAGTTATTGACATTTATTTCATTTGGCAACATAGAATTTTTCAAAACATCTAAAAAAAACTCAGATAAGTATGTTTTTTTTTTTGTGCAGAATGAAAAACTACATCTAATGGAAGAAAAATTCAATAAATTTAAAAATCTAAATATTTTTGTTGAGAGGGAGCAAAACCACGTATGACAAGAGAAACATTCGGGCAGGAAACTACCCAGACTCAGACAGCACACAAAGTCTTTTCTAGGTCTGCCTTCTCCATTACATCTGAACGTCTGAAGACCAAAAAAAAAGTCTAAAAACTCCCATAATAAGATGTCCTAAATTCACATTTTGAGGACAACTGACTGAGCCACACTATTTCGTACAACCAGGCCTAAAAGTGAATAATAGTTCATATATTCAAAAGAGATTCAAAGACTTCCTTTAGAAATCTCATTGAAGACGTCTTTAGAATGCGTTAGTTGTAAAGGCAGACGTCTGAAAGGCGTTGGGTTCTGTAACATACGTCTTCAAGATGTCTTTAAGACGCCCTAAAGATGTAAGCAAGACATCTTGAATGTCGTTTGATGGACATCGTAAGAAAGTATTTAAGATATCTACGAAAATTTCCACAGAATTCGTTTTTCATTCAATTTTAGAAGTTACTTGAAACCATTAAGAATACTTTGAACACTTTAAAATTTTAATAATAAGCCTTTTCGAAAATTCAAAATACTTAAAATTCAAAATATAATTTCCAAAAGCATTCTGTAGCGCTACAAAACATTTTGAGATCTTCAGAAGCATTATTAGAATGGAGCATTTTGGAACAATTTAGAAACTTCAGAGAGATTTTAGAACAATAACGATTCAATTTAGAACTGGAAGCTTTTAAACCAATTCAACTTCACTTTAGAACTTCAATAGGGCTCTAAAATACTTGAAAATATGTCAGAACATATTGAAATTTAATATGGATCCTTCAAAGAAGCAGACTTCCCAATTTTGAAATTACTGAAAAACTTTTAGAATGCTCCAGAACTCTTCAAGCCAAGTTAGAACATGTTATCGACTCTATAATTTAAATAATTAATAAAACCACGATTTAATTTCGGTGATCAAGGTAGATCTATTTATGAAAGTTACAATAAGCTTCTTTAAGAGAAAAGAAAGAAAGTCTTTATATTAGCTGCCTCCGATGAAGGGTAACAGCTAAGTGATCCCATCAGCACCTCGATATTCCGAGGTTCCCATGGTCTTTTTGCCTGTGTGCTTGGGTACTTTATGACGTCCATAAATCCATAATCCGTCTAGGTACCCCAATGTACTGACGTCAAAGTTTTCGACGATAACAAACACTTTAGACAAACCTCAGAATTATTTCAGAGCCTAATGCCTGGAATAGACGAAAATTGAAAGTTATAAAATAAGTCATAAATAATAGGAAAATATTAACAAGAAAATGTTCCTCTTTCAATTCAAATTCTTGAATTCCTATAACTTTCTCTATTCCAAGCTCTTGATTTTTCCTTACTTTTTTATTCCTAATTCTTAATTTTCTTTTGGCTGTTGAATTTTTTTTTTCCAAGTTCTTGAATTATCATTATTCCTGTATTTTAGAATTTCAGGCTCTTGATTTATTTTTTAATTTTCAGTTCTGTCTCTTCAAATGGTTTCCTTCCAAAATGAATTTTTCGTTTAAAGAAATCAAGAATTTAAGACCCTAGTGTTTGGAATAGACAAAACTGAAAGTTATAAGATAAGTGATAATAATAAAATATTAGTCCTGCTGAAGACGTGTTTAGGCAGAAGTCTGAATGACGTTGGCGTTCCTATCTTGAAGAAAGATCCCAAGTGGTGAGAGAAGGTGGGGTGGAGTCCGGGGTGAAAGGCATTGGTATGCGAGTACCACAGGGCTCCATCTTGGATCCAATATTGTTTTTAATATATATTAACGATCTGCCTCTAGTGTCCCCTGAAAGGTGTCTTCTCTTTGCGGATGATACTACCATCCTTGCCACAGGTCCTAGTGCGACTGAGGCTGAGGCTGGGTCGCGGGAGGCACTGTCAAGGGCGAAAACATGGTTCTCTGCAAATGCTCTAGTCCTAAACACTCAAAAAATCCAAGAAATAACATTCTCCTTGAGAGAGCTAGACGTTCCTGATCAAACAGCAAACTTGTTGGGTATAACCCTCGACACGAAGTTGGTCTGGGACAAACATGTTGAATGTCTGTCAAAAAGACTCAACACAAATTTATTTATATTGAGAAACCTTGCAAACTGTGTCTCGAAGGATTTGTTAAGACTTGCGTACTTCTCAATTTTTCATTCAACCATGTCCTATGCTATACTGATTTGGGGACACTCTAGTAGTGCCATGCAAGTGTTTCGGCTACAGAGAAAAGCAATGAGGATTGTTGCAGGGTTGGGCTATAGAGATGACTGTAGGCAGGCATTCAGAGAGAGCAACATCTTGACATTTCCCTCATTATATATCCTAAAAAATCTGATACACCTTGAAAACAATGTTTCACACTATACAACCCATGTTGAAACCCATGACCATGACACTCGTAATAAATGCCTATTAGTCCCAGCCTATAAAAGACTAAAACGAAGTCAAAATGGACCAGGCTGTCTAGGAATAAAGTTTTATAATAAACTGCCTAATACAATTAAGACACTCGCACCGGGCCTGTTTAAATTAACAAAAAAAAGATATCTCTTGGGTAAGGCATACTATTCAGTAGATGATTTTCTGTCGGATGTTTGGGGGGAGGAAAAAAAATAAAGAATTGTGCAAGGAAATTACCAGGTGGCCAATAATGTGATATTTTTATTTTTTGTTCTTTTGTTTAACTTTTATATTTACATATTTGTATTTTACTATGTTTTTGTTCATTTATATTTTATATTTTGTTTTTGTTAACGTTCCTACACCAACCTTTAATAGAATATTTGTACACCTAGTCAATACCTAACTAATTTTATTTATTTCTATATTTGTTTTTTACCTTGTTGTTCGTTTATTTATTGATCTGTCTTGAACTTGTGTGCATCTTGAGAAATGGAATTGTAAAGTGGGGTGACCATTGTAGTGTAGCTGTATGTTTTAGATTTTAAGTTTTAAATTTTTGAATCCCCAATACCATTTAGTGGTTTTTCGGGAGCATATTTCTATTATTATTGATAATTTGACGCATGTAAACACTTTGTGTAATTTGACATGTTAAATAAAATGATTTGATTTGATTTGATACTCTAAGGTCCATTAGTTAAAAATATTTTTGAATATACAGGGTGTTCCGTAAATGAGGTATGCAACAGACCTTTGTTATTTTAAATGGATACCCTACATTTTAGAACATTAATGGGTTGTTCTCAAAAACCTACATACTTTTTGTCAAGAATTACCTATACTAATGGGTCAATTCTATGCACATCTGTGAGCAAATCTATAAATTTCTATAAGCTAATATATACCGGGTGGGCCAGCGAAAACGAAACAAGGTCGATATCTCGTATTCATCGTTCATTGAAAAAAATCGCTCGGACCCGTCGATTTTTATTCGGAGGGGGAAATCTTTTGCACATGACTTTTGCATTGACTTAAACCTTGTGATTTCAAGTTGAATAGCACACGACTTTAAAAAAAAAAACACACATAAAATCACTTTTTAAGAAAAAATTATTATAACTACAAAATTGAAAGTTAGGCCAAGCAATGAAGGAAGTTTACCTGAACATAATTAGAAGTTAACATTTTTTGGGGGGGATCAGTTCATTTTCATGTGCTTAATAACATATTAAGTTTGCGACCTTGTACTTCCATAGGGTTTTTAGTTAGGGGTGGTTTTTAGGGGTAATTTGCGGTTTATGGAGAACGCTGCTCAAAGGGGTGGTCCAATAGCAAAAAGTTTCAAATGAATGTTGTAGCTGAAGTTTTTTGGTATAAAAAACTCAGCGACAGCACCCTTCTATCTTCTATAGTTTTTTTTCTGCAGCGTCTTGAATAGTAGCATGTTTTTATTCAAGGTCACTGAATCAACGTTTTGTCATTTTGCGCGCATTTGTTGCAGCAGCGGCCGAATGCATAATCCGATTTCAATATTTCAAACACCACATTATTGCTAATGAAATGCACTCTCCAATGCTTTTTTGTTCGAATTTTTTGCATGAAAATTAAGAGAGCACGGACTTGTCTAATGTGCGAAGAAGTTGTAAATTGCATCGAAAAATACCCCTTTCTTGCATTCACTCTAATTTCTAAACGAGGCCAAATATTTGGTGACAGTTTTCGACAATCGGCAATTTATCAGGGACTGCTATAGACTGAAGACGACCAATGAAAATAAGCCCATTTTGATAAAATGTGGGTCGCCAGTGATAAGAAATCAAATATTTA